GTATTCTTGGCCTGTACATAAGCCATAATGTTTTGGTTGAAGAACTTTAAGATGAGTGGGATGCAGTTGGCAAAGACAAGGTGTTGCGACATGAATTCAAACTGATACGTGTGATTTATCCTGAAGTGTTTCAGGAGCAGCAGTAACGTTGCAGACACTGCCTTCACCAACACTTCCTTATGCCTATTTACATCCACACCAAGCTTCATACTTTGAACAACTGTCATTCTGGAAATTAAAGTATTGTCAGCACATAACACAAGTTCTCTGTATGAAATGTGTACAGTAGTCTACATCTTTAAGAGTTAAGAGTTAAGTGAATCTGAAGAAATAACATACATTAAAAATTGTGAATAAAATGATTTACTACTAATTAATAAATAAAGTGTCTAATTGTCATTTGTGAGGTAGCAATCTTCTCTTCAGACAGTAATATGTCAATATGCCAAATGAGTGGTAATCAATTGATACATATTAGAGGGAAAAACTAGATCCCCCTAATCCTTTGCCTCCAGTTGACATGGGGTTCACACAACATGGCTGACTTGGGTGCAGCTCCAGAGAATGGATCTTTCCTGCCATGTTACTGTACAAGGAACCCTCATACCCACACATCACATGTATAGTGCTAAGTGAATAAAAAAAAGGGTAGGAAGTAAACATTGCAACATTGTGTACCATAGTTTGCAGCTCTGCAAACAATTGTTCAGAATTTCATCTTTTGTGGTTCACACAGTTTACATGTCCATGAACTTGTGTAACATATATTTCAGACAAAAGAAATAGTTTCCAATACACAACAATCCCTAGGCATTTCTCAGCATTCCAAAAGGTAAATACTGTTTGCAAGCTGAGTAATGCAGACAATTTTATATTAAATGTTCATGTGTAATACAAATGGGGATATAACAAACTCAGGCATCATCCTTGGTTGAGTGACAGTAGATATGCAAAAATATTCTAAATGTACAATTTTTTTCTTGTCCAGATTTTGACATGGCCCCTAATAGGAAATTTTGTGATGCATGGCTAGAACAACTTTTAATTTTGTCTTTTGGGGATTATCAAACACATTCAAGCCAGTGTCTGTAACACCCCTGAACTTTGTGAGGAACACTAGGAGGATGCAGTCACAGCAGCAGAAATTAAACTTTCTGGATTTTTTTTATTGAACACAATATCTCTTTTCACCTACTAACAATGGTTCCTTCGGAGTGCTGTACACCCCACTTTTCGGGTGGTATTTATAGTGGCGAGTGGCCACTGCCATAGACCTCCAAGAGTGTCATTCACCATGGGCAACCAAATCAGAGAGTAAACTCCAGTTTTGTGCCCCATTTATAGCCTTGGGATTATACTGAAGTTTTGAGAACCAAACACAATATTTTGCATGCTTGTAAAGCTAAAATGCGATCTCAAACACTTGCAAAGGTTGGAAGTTTTAGTATAGAATCCAGACTCTCTTGTATTACCATGTGAATTACTATCAGTAACATATTTGCCAAGATATGGTGAGGATAATTCAGAGTTTATATAAAAAAGATTGATTTCTTTTTTTGCATGCATCGCATTACAAGGTGGCATGCCACACCTCAAAGCACCCCCAGGTGCAAAGTCTAATGTCACAGTCACCACACTAGTTCCTGCTGCTCTGACAACAACCCTGTCTAAAGTAAACATGATATCACCTCTTCCTGCCACCAGGTATCTCTAAAATGGTGTGCTGTTGATTCAGCAGAGTGTGCCTCATTGCCATTGGTTGTCTCACTGCGGCACTGCTCCTAGTGGAGTCGGCCCTTTTTCTGAACTGCACCAAGAGCTCAGAGGCAAGGCCAATTCAGAAGGCCCTCTGAGATTCCTCCAATTCCAGGGCATGATTACCAACATCAACACCCTTAATGCCAATGTTGTAATCTTTTACCACCAATGACTTATCCCCATCCACTACAGAAGTATAGACTGCTGCTATAGTAATTGACATCACCCTTCCTCCTCACACTGGAGTCCTTAGGCATGAACTCCCTGTTCAGCTGGGTAGTCCTTTCCACATTAGTCTTACGTGACTGCAACACATGAAAGAGACGGCTGTAAAGTGATATCACTTCCTCCGTGTGTGTTTGTGTGTGTGTGTGTGTTTGTGTTTGTGTTTGTGTGTGTGTGTGTGTGTGTGTGTGTGTGTGTGTGTGTGTGTGTGTGTGTGTGTTTGTGTTTGTGTGTGTTTGTGTTTGTGTGTGTGTGTGCAACTTTATTTTTTTTCATTATTATTTTCTGTTAGTCTTTCTCTTTCTCTCTCCCCTCATAACTCTCCTACTCCCTCTATCCTCATATGACTTCAAAATCCGTGTAAACTGAAGTATTAACTTCACATCTTTATATGACTTCATGACAACTAGTGGTTATGTGTGCAATAAGAAATTGTCTTGGAAATATCCATGTAGACATTACAGATGTCACTGAGGTCCATTGTATTAAGTTTCACATGCAAGAGACCACGAGGATG